TGTGTGTGTGTGTGTGTGTGTGTGTGTGTGTGTGTGTGTGTGTGTACGAATTGGTGCCACTGGGCTAGGTTGTTCCTTACGGTGCCAGCCTACCAGGCGGGGCTTCAAGTGGCGAACGTGGCGGAGTCCAGGCTGGGCGGGGTACCCTTGTCTTGCCACTGCCAGTGGGATCCTGTTCCCGGAAAGTTGCGGAAACATTGCAGGCGCTAGACACAGGACAGGTGCGGAGAACCATGACGAATAGTCAGGGCAACCAAAGAAATGCGACGCAAGGCCAACGGGAGTAGAACAGTAAGGCAAAGAAAGCAAGTGGCGGGGCTGGAGAGTGGACGGCGTACATCAGGGCCTCCTGGCAGCGAGAGAAGAGGACAGACGCCAGCAACCACCAGTGGAGAGTTGGGCAGCAGACGGGAGGAGAATGAGCGGCCAAAAGGGAGCCTAAAACAGAGTGTAATCTCCCCCATCCCCACCACAGATACGACATGATCCCCTATAGATAGGAGAACAGGGGTTGCGCCGGAAGAAATACTGAGCTGAAGGGGCTTTATCAGCACACTGTCAGGAGTAAAATTGTTTGAAAAAAGAAGAAAAAAACACGACATCCCCTACAGCTAGCCATAGTTCTCGTTGATTCGCTGCTATAAAGTCTCGTTAACAAAAAAAAAAAGGAAAGAAATGTCGTCCGACTCGCTTCGCTGCTGTCGAGTCGTGTCGACGCACCTTGTCTTCTCATTCACTTCTCTCAAGAAAATGACCGCTGCCGACACCTCTGAACCGTCGCCGTCACTTCGTAATGGCGTGCAGAGAGCAGGAAATCGAATCAGCGCTAAGCGTGGACATATGGAGGAGGCATATATTAACGGCGGGCTCAAGATGATCCATCGGCAGCATGCATCTGTCGTTCAGACGTGCTCCTCCTCTCCTCCGCTCCCCTCCACCTCTTCCTCTCTCACTCTCTGCTTTCCATTTCTCCCATCGAACACCTCATTGAATTCCTGTTAGTTGGACAGGCTGCTCGACAGCCAGGCTCCATCACGGCCAAGTACAATCTCGGTGACCCCGCGCGTACCATACTTGCACGGCCGGAGCTGCAGCGATGGCGGCGAGGAGCACGTTGCTGAACCTGTTGACGTTCATATTAATCGGCTTGATGACGTTGATGAGGACGACGACCGCGCATCTAATAGAAACAAGAGGAGTCGTTGGGCCCGTTCTCCATGCTGGACACTTGTCGTTCGCTTCAGCAGGTGCCGGCCATGACACGTCGGCATCACGATGGACATCGCTGATAAAAAAGCCGACTGTGAAGCAGGCTTCTTCATCAGTGGAGCTGGAGGAACAGCAGCAGCAACCTCAGCAGGCCGCAGGGGACCCAACTACTAGGCGTCAGGAGCTAGCAGGTTGTGCCGGCAAGTCGTCAGGGGTCGGCCCAGGGATTCGAACGGTCGTCGATCGGCGGGAGGAGGCAGGTTGCGAACCGGCGAGTGGCGGTAAACCACCGGCAATGGCATTAACGTCGGGCGATGGACAGAACAGCAGACGGTTGGAGCAAGGGTCAAACGGGGGCAGGGCGTCGGGCTCACCATCGCTGAAGTCAAGCATCGTGCGCAGCCGCAGTACGACGCCTGTCTCGGGAGAGGTGTCGTCGGCGGTAAGCGCAGAAGGCATGCCTTTGTCGTCCTCGGCATCGGCGGCGGCGAAGGGGTCCTCCGCACGTCTTCGTTCAGCAAGAGGTTCCAGTCGCCGGCTGCTTCAACCAGCAGAGGGTCAACGGGAGACCCCTCAGATCCTGTTGACCATGCAGGACCTCTCTCAGGTCGTGCGGCCACTCGGCGTCAGGACGTATGACGACGATCACCAGTCAGAGATCGCTCCCGTGACAAATGGGGCCAGTCGTCGGGAGCTGCAGCAGTCGACGAACGGGACATCAATCACTTCACAACCACCGGCTCCCGCATCTCAGCCTTCTATAGGTCCCAGGGCCAACGAGGTGGTGGTGTGGCCCCGGACGGGGGGTCGTAACGCCTCGGGAGTCGCCCTGACGACGGGGACATCGTTAGAATCGGCGATGGCACTGCCAACAGTGCCAGCAGCCCCGGCACGGATAGTGGTATGGGTCGCAATAGATGGCACGGGCGACTTCCAGTCCGTGCAGGCCGCGGTCGGTGCAGCGGAAGAGGGATGGACAATTAGGGTGAGAGCCGGGATCTACGAGGGGCAAGTCACAGTCAAGGTGCCACGTGTCACTCTCATCGGGGAGGATGCAACAAGTACTATCATTCGAGACGATAAAAGCGTTGGGGAAGTCGGCACCCTTCAGGAATCCGCTACCTTCACTGTGGACGAGGCAGCCATCGGGTTTGTCGCAAGGTCCATTACCTTCGACAATGACCATGGTCCTAACAATGGTAAAGGCGATCAAGCCATAGCATTGGCTGTTTACGCTGATATGGCGTCTTTCTACGACTGCCAGATGTTGGGCTGGCAAGACACGCTCTATGCTCAGGAAGGTAGGCAGTATTACAAGGACTGTTTGATTGAAGGCTCCGTGGACTTCGTCTTCGGCGGTGCAGTGGCTCTGTTCGAGAAGTGCACGTACTTTCTTAAAGCACGTCCTGGGGTGAAGGTGGGGTACATCGCGGCCCACTCACGGGATAGCGCGTCGGGAAGAGGGGGGTTCGTACTGGTCGGAGGCCTCGTAGACTGCGATGCCGGTATGGAGGGCTTTCTGGGTCGCACGTGGGGGTCCCATGCGAGGACCGTCTACGCCGGCACGTATATGGAAGACTGCATAGATCCCAAGGGCTGGACCGAAATGCCCGGGTTCGCGAAGGAGGGGCGGTCTTTTGTGGAGGCCGCTTGCGAGGGCCCCGGTGCCAACAGGCAAGGTAGAGCGTCGTTCTCGGTGGAGATGACCGCCACGGAGGTCCTGGAATACCGTGGAGAGAACTTTCTGAGACCTCTCTGAACCCCAATGCCAGGCGCAACTCTGGCAGGTCTACCCGGGGCTAGGTCCCACTTGCACGAATTAAGAGATTTTGACCGTAGATAGCAAAGATCAACGGCTTAAATCTCCTAATTTGCGCAAGTGGGACCTTGCCCCCGGTGCTTCCTTGGTAGTATTGGCCATAGAGCGGCGATGGGACGCTCAGACCGGATGGCTGGAACTTGGTGCGTACTCGAAAGCAAGTCTAGGGCCTCAGCACGCCACTCCCCGAATGTGCGTAGTGTAGCATCTGTCTCCCGCAAACAAAATAGAAACATGCCCCTGCCATAGTTTTTCTGTTTTTCACGTTCCGTGAGTGGTGTGGCGATGCCCTAAGCCCCCGCTGGTCGTATCCCACTTCTTTCTCGGCATGTAGTTTTGGCCAAAAACGGGATCCGACTTCTTTCCTGACAATTCGGCGGCGGCCCTGCATCATCGGGAATGTGGAAACGTTGGTGGACGTGGCGCGATGTCCACAATTGGCATTTTCGTACTTCTTTCGGAAAACGGAAGAGGCCACCCCGTCTTGTGTAGCGAAAAAGAAGGCGCAGTTTTTCAGTTTTTCTTTTTCCCCTTTCTAGTTGTCCCCATTGTTCACACAGCTTTTTGTGCCATGTCCGCGGTACACTACTGTGTGTGACATCCGGTCCACGTGGTCGTTCGAAGGTCCAAACTCGTCGACAGCGGCCCACAATTGTCCGCAGTGCATTTGAATTCGTGAAAGGGGCGGCCTTCCTGGGGATGTGGGATCCCTTTTTTCTTTTTCAACATTTCTGGAAGGGACGCCCGGTTGTTTTGGCTTCTTCCGAGTTTTGCAAGAAGTGGGATAGGACCCTTAGGGCCTCATCCCACCCTACTCACGGTAAGTAGCAGTCAAAAAGAAACGAAAAAGAAGGGGCCGCAGTATTCGGACCGTGAAAGTAGCTTCTTCCGAGTTTTGCAAGAAGTGGGATACGACCCTTAGGGCCTCATCCCACCCTACCTACGGTAAGTAGAAGTAAAAAAGAAACGAAAAAGAAGGTGCCGCAGCATTCGGACCGTGAAAGAAAATTTGTACTCCACCGTCCCGTTATTGCAGGAGATATTATGTGGGTGGTGGCGGCCTTTGTGTGGCTGCGGCCTTTTTTAGACGAACCTGGCCAGGTAACGGGCAAAAAAGATAAGAAAAAGAAAACATAAAAACACCCCATCCTTTTAGGAACAGGGTACAGGCCTGTTCCTTTTCCGAAAACGGCAAAACGGACCTCCCGACGTCCACGAACCCCACGTCCTAAACCGTTTTCACATCCCTCCGTTCACATCGGAGCCCCCGGGGTTCAAGGAACAAGGTGGGATACGCCGAAAATGGATATTTTACTTACCGTAAGTAGGGTGGGATGAGGCCCTTAGCCCCTGGAGTCTGAAGTGGCTACGAGGTTTTCGCTTCGGTTGGACGATCAGAACGCACCTGATCATGAAGATTCCCCAGTGTTTTCCAACATGGCTAACCTTCTGCCAATCCCTCGCCAGTTGGGGGCTGCAGAGGGGACTGACAAGCACTAAATAGGCTCTCAGTAATCTAGTTGTTTCTGACATGAACCTGATCTATGTTCACTCTCTGCACCAGGTCCAGGCTGCTGTCCATGGCACCACTGCCTGACAGCCCTTCCTACAGATGCACTGCTGTACCGGAGGGCTAATGTTCGAACATAACAGACAGGTTGCATCTGGTTTATATAATTTCCTGCCATTTCCTGCTGTGGAATCGAGTGGACTAGCTCAGTTGGTAAGGCCCGCAAGTGGCATTCAGGATGGCTTGGCTTTGATCCCCATTGGCCTCATGCACCTTCCTGGGCAAGCTTGGTGCGCGCCACCTGTGGACAGGCCGTTGGTCCCCCAAGCGACATTGAGCATAGGCTGCCGATGTTCGTAAGGGGGAGGGACCGGAGGGGAGGCACAGCAACTGGCCCATCGAAGTAGCTTGGTCCTGATGCTACTGGCTGACCCCTGGCCGGTTTCGCCCACCTGCAGGTTGGGTGCAGCCCCCGTATGTCCCCTTGCCCGAGGCTTGAACTCGGGCTGACTGCTATCGGGTTCCCCGTGATACTATAGTGATAATAAAAAAAGGCCTGAAAGGCCTCCCTGCCAGAGTCGACAGGTGATTGAATTGGCTGGGCTTTTCTATTCAAAAGAAAAAGGAGAGCTGTGGAGCTTACCCAGCTTGGCACTGTACCAAAAAAACAAGATCCGAATTACCTCTACCTCCAGACCTGAGCTAGCAAGCCTGACAAACTTCTGCCAGTGCCTGTACCGAACCAAGCTACTGGCAATGTGTAAGGAGATGATGTCTGCTCGAAGAGACTTGACTGGGGATTTCCTCCCCGTTTCTGGGTCCCAAGTCCCACCTCGCTGGATTCTTCATTTCTGGTAGTTGATCTTCATCATCTACGGTCAGAGATTGAGAATTGAGGTAAGCGGGACTCGGCCCCTGTAATAATTTGTGAGGCTCCACAGCCCATCAATTCCGTAAGTATTTCAGAAACCATAGCTGCCCCGGCGCTGTGATATTGGGGGCACTACCACGTCGTTCGGCATAGGTCAGTTACAGCTACATAGGGAAACATTATGGAGATGGGGCTTCCATCAATGTAGTCTTAAACCACCAGCACATGCCTCACAACGGCCGCGGGGATGTGTCAGAGGCTGAAAAGTGACACTCGCCGACGGTGCGCTGGCGCCGAGTTTTCCGGATACTAGGCGATGAGTTTCTTTTCAGCAAGGATGGGGCCATGTACTGGCGATTTAAACCACCAGTACATGCTAGCCATCGACCACAGGCCTCTTTTGGAGGCCTCCTACAGTCTATATATTTTATCGACGGTGTGTGAGCCTCCGAGATTTTAGGAGAGGCTCAATCGGACTCTCAACTTGGCTGGGGCATGTACCGGTGCTTTAAGACCCCATCACGCTGGGTTTGACACGTTTTCTTCATCATGTATGGCGCCGCCGTTGGAAAGAAGAACTTTAGTTTTAGGTGTGGAGTCCTGGCTTCCTTTGAGCAAGTCGCTAACGTAATGCTGTGAGCATCAACCAGTGGGGAACCATGCAGTTATATTCAACCAGCAGGCAAAGCCGTGGATGAACCACCAGATGTGGTCCCATTATGCAGCTGTATTTGAATTGCGAAGATGGTCCCACTATGGTCCCACTATCCAGATGTATTTGAGCAGTGCCACACAAATCACCACGATGGGTTGCTACTATTCAGCTGTATTTGGACATCCTACTAGTTGAATAAAGCATTTTATTACTGAAAGATGGGGAACAACTGATATGATAAAATTTGCACAGAGATGGCTGTTTTCCACAAAGTGCAAGCCTGGATGTAGGTACTTAAAATTTGGTGCACATGCTGGAGTAATGGGCACATGCTTCTCTGTACTGATTCGCATGGAATTAGCACAGCCAGGAAATCAAATTCTTGGTGGAAACCATAAAAAATGTAATGTGGGAGATGAGCCAACAGAATTGCGCACTCCCTCTCTTCTTCCAATGCAACGCTCATTTCTCTGCTCTCAGAACCTTCAGCAAAAGTTTGCGTAGCCTGCTGGCAGATGCTGTAGTCACTGTGAATTCAGAAAAGAGGCGAGTGGAGGTCGTAGTAGCTTTGGTCAGGAGGACAAGGTACACTGCCAGTGGTTACATTCCAGCTGTAGCTTTCCACCTATGGCCCGGAGGGGTCCCTGTCTGCTTTTGGTTGACCTTTTTTTTTAACTTGGTGGAGAAAAACTCTTTTTTCTTTAAAAACGGTGATATATCTTTTTTTTTTTTTTTTTTTTTTTAGGCACAAGCTGGGAACCGGGCCCAGCGTCCCATAACAGGCAAATTCAGAAAAGTCTTCAGAAAATTCCATGAAAATGAGGCTAGAAGACTACTAGGAATGTAGAGCTACACTTTTGAAAATTAAGATACCAAGGCCATTGCCCGGTTTGAATCAGAGATATTAGAACCGCTTCAGACATATCTACAACCCCCAAACGACTCCCCTAGTCCCCACTCCAGCAAGACTTACTGCAGCAGAGCCACCATCTCTGCTGCCGCTGTGCTCTAGTACCATCCTACCAGCTAGCCCACTCACTAGTAGGACGCGTGATACCCCACCTGCAAATACCACAGTTCTGTCTTCGTCATCGAAAGGGAGGTCCCGGCAGGCCGACAAGTGTAACAGTTCTGTCTTTGTCATAGAAGGGGAAGTCCCGGATACCCCCCCGACTCCATCCTAGTAAAGGGTTCGAAGAACCATATCCTCGGCCCGAGCCTGGCACAATCCTCACCTGCAATCTCCTGCCCCCTCAGAGATTCCAGTCTCCGTCATCGAGCGGGCAATCTAATTCATAGTTTAAGTGTTATGCATTTATGTAATATTGAAGGCTTGCTCCCAAAAGATGGAGTTTGGTCAAATAAAGAGAATTCCCCTTGTAAGCTCCACCTCGCGGGAACAGGACACCAGCAGCCGTATATAATGATATCTTCTTTTCTTTTGCACTATCCAAGGTGGTTGTAATGTCTGTTTTGATGAGACGCTGGCTGCAGCTGCCAGCAGGTGAAGCTCCCCTCCAATAGATGGAGCCTCATACAACAAACAAGTACACCTATCACTTTATGGGGACAAGTAGGGCTTGCAGGGTAGTAGAGGGTACCCAAAAAATAGAATGCCATATCATGACTTTTTTTTTTTCTTCTGCCCAAACATCAGAGAGGGATACCTACTATAGGGGTCGTATAAATACCCTCCAATAGTGGGTTCCTCCCAGTTGGTGGATCCAATCTATTGGTGGGGGTCTGCGCCTTGCTGGAAAACGAGTCCAGCATCCTTTTAGAAACATGCAGGCGTATCAAAATGTCTACAGCCGTCCCAGACAGCATTGACTGTCCTCGCTTGTAGGTCCAGAGAGACATGGCGTATCATATACCAAGTAAAGAGCGGAGAGGGGAACAGGAGGCAAGCTTGCCTACTTGAACTGGAAGTAAGCATAGGTGATAGAACCAGCCCCCGAGACTGACACAACAATAGGCTGTTAGCTAGGCGAATGGGGGGAAGCAGAACAGCCAAACTGCTTCCGATTCTCTTACTAGCAGCCACAGGATATGTGTATACTATCACCTACAGAAGCCAGTCAGGTAGACAAGCACCTCAAGCTGATGGGTTCTTCTACCTGCCAAACTCATTCTTAGGAGGAGGACCCTGCAGCTTGCCGTCACTTCAAGTGCATGTCTGTTCAAACAAACAATACGAAAACAAC